GTCTTTTTTGTATGGACCTCGCTGCGCTCGGTCCGTACTGTCAAGACCTCGGGCCGATATTCTCCCAATACGGCCCTCATGCTTGGTTGATAAGATATATTTATTAGGAAGCTCCATCACAATAGTGGTTCACATAGAGGTCCTAAATACTAGATGTGTATTATATAAAAATACAATTAAAATATAGAAATTTGAGCTAAAATCGAAATATAAAAATGATTACAACATATACACTGCAAAAATTAATTGAAAAAAAAACTTAAAAAAAACTTATAAAAAGCAGAAAAAAGACACTTCTTAAAAATTGGCAAAATTACTGAGTTTCTTACAGTTCTCTCTAACCCATTAAAGTCTTTGAAACAGTGATACCGCGAACAATGCTTTCCTCAATTGTATTTAATTGTGGGGAGCTTTATAGTATCGTTATTGCGCATATTGTAGGAGTGCATATCACTCTTTCTTACGATGTCCAAAGAATGATTAATTTCGCCATTAATAGACTGGATGGTGACTGGGACTTTGACAATGACAATAACATAATGCAAACGTCAATTACAGTGACATTGGCGATGATACTGACGATAGCAATGACAATGGTTAAGTGACAGTGGCAATGATAATTACGATGACAACGCTAATGATAATGATAATGACAACGACGCTGGCATCGACTTTGATAATGATAGTGACAGTAAGAACGTTGACGACAACAATATGAATAATTAGTGCGATTAGGATAGTGACTTTGATGGTTAAAATTTATTTTTAAGCTTAATAACAACGATAGTAATTAAACCAAAACAAATTAAAACTTGGAGAATTTAACCTGGGACCTCCACATTTCAAATCAAAGTCCCGGTTGTTCAAAGGGTTGATAACGATATATTCTGGATAAACCTCTCTCAGATGGAGAGTGCAGTACGTTTTGTTGACATTTTTTCACTGGATAGCAATTCATCCGTAGGATAGCGTTATCTTCCCTATGTACAATTGGGCTCAGTTTCCTAAACCACTCTCTAGACTATCTCCTCACTGAAGCCAATTATGCTGCTCTCTTTGTCGTAGGAGAAAAATGAGTCAACCCTCTGGATAAGGCTTATTTACCGCCAGATAGTCCTGTTATTTATCGGAATTATTCTTCTGGTCGGCCGCTGGCGCATCATGGGGTCTTCCCCTCCAGTTTTCCAAGTAGTGGATAATCCTGCGTCATTCGAGGAGTCTCTTGTTAAGCGAGTAAGCCGGCGTACTCAGTTTGTAATACACACGTAATTTAAATACTTTTATTTGTATTCAAAATGTAGTGTTGGGCTTGCTGTAACCTCGATGAGTTTGAAAATGGAGAATTGGAACTAAACAACAAATGTTCTAATCGTACAAAATTGGAAAGTTAGGTAGCGTAGGGAAGTGCTTCTCATGAACGTGATTCTCATCAACGAACATAAATGAGGTTTCGCGTTACTTATTTCCCTCAGAATTAAGCCCCGGCACCATCTAGAACTGCCACACCAAATACATCATCTTGTGTCAGCGAAAATACTGCTTCAATAGCAAGGTCTCACACTCGTTCATTTTAAACGAGGAGTTTGGGGTTTCCTTCACGAAATGTCCAACCGTTTGTTTTAACGTAACAACAAAAAAAAACTTCCTTTGACATGAAGGTACCTGCAAAATATTAGTCTGGCAAGATAGAAAATCACCCATATTTAAGATGAAACAAGAATGGCTGAGGAAGGAGATGGAAAACACGGATTGCAAATGACAACAAAATATAAGTTTGGTGAGGTAGAAAAACATGAAAATAGGAAAAAATAAATCGAAATGGAAAAGATTGACAGGGATCTTGCCCAAACTGCTAAGTAACTTTATTGAAAATCAGATAACTTGATATCATAAGTTGTGACATAAAATCAATTTTTTTTTTTTCGCTCTTCGCAGGTCATCAACTACAACTACCTGTACGCCATCAATGCCTGGCTCCTGATTGTACCACAGTGGCTGTGTTTTGATTGGTCCATGGGGTGCGTGCCGTTGATCGACTCCTTCTCTGATCCGCGCATGCTCTGTATTGTCGGCTTGTGGACAGTATTACTGGTGCTCATCGCTTACTGTGTGCTAGGGAAGAGTTTACCAACCAAACGGTATGTCGTAATGAAATTGCGGATTTTAAGCTTCATAGGATAATCTGGAGCAGGGGACCTTTTTAATACCACCCACCGCCCATTTTCTCCAAGTTGTGGCGTTGGAAGGAACACATAATTGCATCAACTAGCAACTTAGTCTATATTTCCAATCCATAAAGGCCATCATGGCGTATCTTCGAAATACCATTCGTTGTAAACGCTTTGCTGCATGTCTTCTTAGGATTCTAACCATGGGATTAGCTTTCGTGGTTGTACCGTTTCTTCCTGCGTCGAACGTCTTCTTCAGAGTTGGTTTTGTTGTGGCTGAAAGAGTTCTCTATCTGTCCAGTATTGGTTCCTGTCTCCTCACTGTGCTAGGTTTTACTTTACTCAGCAAGTTCCCAATTGGAAAGAAGGTGAGTAAGAGCCTCGTTTTGGACATTTTGGAGCCGCTCTTGAGCTGGAAATCCTCATAACTCCCCTACGAGCCCCCACATAGAGCCGTCCAGACACCCACCGTACTGTGTTAACGAAGGAAAAACGAGGGTTAGGGAAAGAGATGAAGAAATGAAGCGAGGAATGCATAGGAAGTTGCCACGCTTAAGCATAAAGAAATACTGACACGTCGTACTGTCACTGAATGAGTGCACAGATCTTGAACTAACCTCTGATACCTCTGACCTCCATAAACATACCAGCGGCTCGCTTTTTATTGTTTATTTAGATAGACTGAGTTTTATAGAAGAGGATTTTTCTTATTCTTTCAGATGATAGGATTCGGTATGTGTTTGCTCTTAGCTTTGTACATGTTGCGAACAACACAGGTAAGATGGGAATTTATGTAGCAGTTTTTCAAATACTTCAGATTACGTTGAAAGCGAGGGTATGCCTTTAAAAGCACACACAGCCCACAATTCCTCTATTCGCTCCAACGAAGGGCTAACGCTCGAAACGTCAGCTTTTATAATCGTAACGGTGGCCAATTTACCATTTCAACTTTGTTGATATATTCAAATTATTTCGTTACCCCCACCGACGCAGCCCCAAACAGTTTTTTTAGAAATTATCAGCCTTTATCAAAGGTACACTGCGCTTTGTTTTTCAGAGATCAGCTGAATGGATGAATGAAGACACATTATTTACGTCTGGATTGTCAGTTTGCCCGCTGAATGCTAAAGTAATACATTTGAATTTAGACGTAATTTTGGTACCTTTTTTTCTAGTTTGAATTAATTAAAAGTTCATGAGATCTTCGTAAGATTTTTCATCCATGTCGAGTACTGAGCACTTTTTCTTACAACCTGTATACCAAGAAAGAAGTTGTTTGGTGAACTGCGAAACCCTCTGAAGTAAACAAAATAGTTTCCCTCTTCTGACATGCGTACCAAGGATGTGTGGGACAATTATTTCAACGCGTTGCAAGGCTGTGTTCTAGCAGCGCCCGGTGGCCCCTGGCGCCTTACTTTTGCTCTAGCGCGACTCGGAAATTTTAGTTTCTTCATACAAAGCATACGCTGGGCACCCTGGATTACACAGTTTCAGAGCACTGGGCTCCATTCAATTTTCCTTAGAGCACAGCCTTGCGTTGCAATGAAATTTTCACAGAGTGTGTTACAGTAGGCAAGAAATCGTACCAATTGCCTCTTTAAAGCTTAACTTGAGCCAGGAGACCTGGCAAACTAGCTTCTGTGGTTCAACCAAATGGCTGTTAAAACTGTTTATTTGTACCTTAAATAGGTGCACTATAACGTTGCTAAAGTACGAGGAGAAAAGGGACAAGTTGAGGTTGCCGAAGCATTTTATAGAGAGGCTATCAGGTAAAGATCTTCGTCAGCCATAATGACCTGTTTGTCCGTTGCTTTGTGCTCAAACATGGCCTGTAAATACTATTTCTGAAGCAGAACAGGCCATTAACTACCACAGGTCATCTATAGAAATCTTCTTTGGCTAATTTGCCGTAGGAACTCGCAGACAGCCATTTATGTCCTCACAGAAAGCGGAGCATTTCGAGAGTGAAATGTCTCAACCTGAGAACAGTCTCCTGTTTCTGATTGCTGCCGAATTTCATCGCGCTCTGCTTGGGGCGCGCTTCTTGCGGATATGCCTCCACCCATCCTCTCGTATTTTTTCTCCTTGCCGTTTCCTCTCACATTCAACGGGAGCGCTCTAAGGCTTAAACACCCTTGATTGAACACCATGTAGAGATGATCCTTAAGTGTAAGTAACAGGCGCATCAGTACTCCCCTTGTCATGTTCAGCATGGCTGTCCTAAGTTCACAATCCCACACCCTCTTACGCTAGAACGTAGTGTGCAGCTCTTTTCCAACCAGAGACGTTTGTCTTTTTGTTATTTATCACACAGGTTGAATCCAACGTATGATCAAGCGCTGAATAATCTGGGAAACTTAATAAAGGTAATCGTATAATTTTTGATAACTTACCGGCGATCCCTCCAACACCAGCAACAACATCTTTCCTTCGTGACTTTATAGATGACACTTCAAAATACGTTTGTTTCTCATTGTGTGTGGTTATTGAAATTTCTTTGTTTCTTTCAAGTTTTAATTGGATGAAATTCAAGTTATCTGGAAGTCGTCTCGTTTTTTATCAAGATTGTGTCTTTTACTTCCTGATTTGATATATCGAAAGTTATTTTGGAAAATGTTGGAGAATTACTCGGAAAAGGGCAATCAGAAATCTGTATCGTAACACTTCATTTGCGTCATTCTGACTCAGCAAACATAAGGTCAGTTTTTGGAAATTTACCGAGCACTGAACTAAAGAGATCTTTCTTTGTTTGAAGGACAATGGCAGATACGAAGAAGCAGAAGCACTTTTGGAAAAAGCTGTAGAAATTAGGTTAGTGAGGTGAACTATTTTGTCCATAACATTTAAATTGTGAGTCAGGTTTATTCCATAGATTTGACTTCAGTTAAGTGATAATTTCTTAGGTCTAACCGTAAGAGTGTCCATCATCCAATTCCTTCTAACGGTAATACTGCTGTATCATTCATTAAGATCATGATCGCCAACCCAAGAAGCTTTACTTGTTAAACGAATTCTCCTTTTCAGTACTGAAGGAAACGTATAGAGAACAGTATGGAGAATATGGTTCCTGATGTTAGGGTGTATAGGGTCAATAATAAACCTTTTAAACAACGATTTAATCGTCGTCTTTAACCTGTTCATCAATGATGTTATATGTTATTTCCAGTGTATCTTTAAACCATGGAAACTTACTTTATACATTTTTGTTAAACAGGAACGACTTTGCCGCTGGTTGGATGAACCTTGGGACAGTCAAAGCAGCTCTACAGAAACCCGATGTTAGTAACCGAGACATTCGAAATTATTTAACATCATGATTCCAGCCTTTTGGGTGACTCTTGTCAGGATCTGTTATTGCCTAAGGTGATCTTTTTGTGGCCCCTAACGTGACACGCGTTCCTAACTGCTCTACGACTTATTATGTACTGTCGTGACAACCCCTAGCCATTTTTTTACCTATTTTTTTTATTATGAACTTTATTTTAAGGAGGCAGAAAAGTGTTACAGCAATGCCATACAATACAGACGGAAATATCCAGACGCATTTTTCAATCTTGGGAATCTGGTGAGAATTTTGCCGTGTGTCTGAGTAGTAACAAGAATTTGCATGATAGTTGTTTCCTTATTGGATTACTCACGTAATCATATTTCCTCCAGTACATAGACCAAGAAAAACATAAAGAAGCCATTGCAGCGTTTAAGATGGCTGTCAATTTAAAGAACGATCACGTGGGTGCGTGGATGAATCATGCGCTGCTATTGGAGAAGTCAGGTAAAAGTTTAATAGGGGGACTTGAGCTGTTTTAATATGGCTTGGTCTGAGCCTACTCCCGCCCTAAAGCCTGTAACTGTGTGATTTAACAGTGGAATAGAGGTGAAGAGTATTGGGACCTGTGGCCAGCCTGAGGAAATGTGAGACACTGGCCAACACGGGCGAATGAGGAACGGCTGTGAGGTGCAGGCTTGGAGAAACCATGGCATGGCCAATTTTTTAACCCTTTCCTTTCGCATTCCTCTCCTCCTTTGCACGCCTATTAGTTCCTCAGCATAGAAAGGTCTGGGTAGTTGCGGCAGAGAAACGTTTGCAACTGGTGGTAAAGGTGGGAAAACGTGTAGTCGTTGGCAAGGCTGGAAAAACGTGTTGCTTATAATAGGGACCTTTAGCAGTCAGGACGGCAGCGCCAAGGAAGACGTCAATTAAAAAATGAATTTCTACTTTTAATTAAAATTTCGAAAATGGCTGCATGTGTTTACTATCTCATACAGCGCCACAACTCAACCTCGACATAAAGTATAAAAGTAGCGTTGAGTTCTAAATGGAAAGTAAAATAATTTGCCGTCGCGGTTTAGGTTCGCAGACAACACAAATTTTGTTGATTTCACGTTATTGTTTGGCAAAGGACGGCTAAGAAATGTACTTAGTTTTACAATGCACGTGCTGAACTATTGTTCTGCCAATTAGTTCTTTTGTTTTGTCACGTCCTCGTCGCCGTCACCGTCGCCGTCGCCGTCGTGGTTTGCTTAAGGTCCCTAATAAGGGCGGGAAATTGTGTCGCCAAGGGCGGGAAATCGTGTCGCTGGTGGTAAGGGAGGGTGAAAAATTAGAGGCTGGCAAGGGTGTTAAAATAACGACATCAACTTTGCCTTTGTGTTTGCATTTAGACGAGGCACCAGGGAAAATCATAAAAATCATAACGATTATGGTGACATATCAATTTTCATTCTATTTTTAGTCGCGCAACTTTTTATGTGATGAATTTAGGCCAATTCCCCGAACAGAATTTGGAATAGTCGTTTAGATATGTGTAGAGGCAGCTTTCACGTCACCAACTCCCTTTGATGTTAGGAGTAATTCGGCTCATTTCTTTTGGTGTCTAAGTTGGTTATGGGTTTGATATTTCCATGAGCTTATTCTCTTTGAGGCTCAATATAGAGGAAATATTTCGAACGATTGTTGTAAAGTCAAAAGCAAGGAAATCACAACAGCCAGTCATGGGAATGGGAATTGTCACAAGAAACTAATGAGAATTCAGAGTATAAACAAGCAAACAGCTCAAACCGCGGGAAAATGCAAGTGCCCAGGTCGTGATTGGTTTTAGTAAATCTGATTGGCCGAAAGAGTGACGCGCGTCTTCTGGACCAATCACACAGCGGAGCTAAGTTAAGCAAAACAAAAGTGATCATGGATTGCCTTTGACACAAAATCGAAAACTGCTCCATAGGCGTTTGATAATCTTTTGTTTATTTTTTTTTGTGCATATGTGTGTGCGTTTTTACTTAGGTAACAGAGATGAGGCCATATCTGTTCTTTTGGAAGCCAAAAAGTATATTCCTAATGAATCAACAGTATACTTCAACCTTGGTAACATGCTGGGACAGAACAACAAATTCCAGGTACGTGTCTGGTAAAAGCTATTGAGCAGGTTCTCATTTGCTTTGTACCTGCGCTCTTCGTGCCGGCGAGAGGTGTAAGTGCGCGTGAGGTCCGCTAGGGGTCTGGCACGAAAATGATTTTTAGAGTCCAACCCCTTACAGGCCGCTCGCGAGGTGGAATCTTGCAAGCTTCACCGCTCATGCTTTGATGTCAAGATTGATGACTCTGTTGTTGAACAAGTTTCTTCTCATAAGATTTTAGGAGTAGTCATAGATAGTCAAATGAACTACGAATCGCACATTGATGAATTATGCAAGACACTTTCCAAACGCATAGGTCTCTTGAAGCATATTAGCCCGTTTCTTAAGCAACGTCAAAGGGAAACCTATTGCAATCCTCCTGTATGGGAGCATGATATGGGATAGCTGCAATGTCGAACATCTTCAAGTATTTTAAAACTTCAAAAAAGAGCGGCACGCATTATACTCGATGCTGAAAGACTTGCACCATCAGTCGTATTATTTAATAATCTAAACTGGCTCCCTTTTACTAAACAATCTCTAATAAAGAGATGTGCACCAGTGTATAAGCGGGTTCACAACTGTATTATGCCTAGTTATTCAAATAATCAATTAGTTAGAAATTCAAAAATTCATAATCGAGCCACTAGACATTCAAATATAAATCTGATGTGCCCCAAGTATAAACGAAAAACAGAAGGGGGTCTTTAGGACTATAAAAGACTGGAACTTCATGAATGGTAATATAAGAAATAATGGCTCGCTAACAAGTTTTAATCACAATGTTCTTAAATCCTTTCTAGCTGAACAAAAGGCTACGATGCGCCTTAGACTGTAATTTGTATATATGTATTATGTTGTTTTTTATTTTCTTAGCCATAATGTCTTCTATGAATTCTTTATTATATTTTATCTTTTTTAAATGTGGTATATTTTATCGTTATTAGTTGTAGCATCTATATTTGTAATTGTTTTGAGGGCCACAGAGTCACCAGTGTCCTGGGGCTACTGTTGAGTGTTTTTTCCCTCTCTAAATAAAGCCTATTATTATTATTATTATGCCGCCACCCGACTGAGAGCCTGCGTGCTGGCCCGACCGGTTAGGATAAATACGTTTTTATGTATTCGTACAAAGATTGCACTCTAGGACTAGGGTAAGGTAAGGGTTAAAACAAAAACAAAACAAAACAAACACTCAAACACAAAATCCGAACTCTGAAAGTTCAAATTTCAAAATATTTTAGTCTACTTAATCAATCGAAGGTGGCAAAGTTTTACATTCAATAGTCAGTCTAAAAATTCCCGACAAAAAATAGACTTGTTTGATGTGCACTATTTGTAATGACTTAATCGATTGGAAAACCTGTAAACTAGCTTCTGCTAAGTGTTTCTACCCACGCTGAATAATAATCGTTGTTCATTCACAGGAGGGTGAGCAACAGTTTCTGAAAGCTCTTACATTGAGCCCAAATTCTGCTGAAATTCATGGCAATCTAGGTAAGAATTTCATAACTCTGTGATGCGTGTTAAATACATATTACAGTGTAATATGTATTTAACGGTGTAAAAGCAGTTTTCTTGTAATCCTCCACTGCAGGAATATATATCTATATATATATATATATATATATTCCTGCAGTGGAGTGAAGTGAAGTTGTAGTTCATTTATTCGTTTAAGCAGGTTAATTAATTGGCAGCTGTAATAGCTGATGTGGACCTGCTGTCCT